GGGGGGGGGGGGGGGGGGGCAGGAATTAATGTGCCACCACCTTGTTCCTCCCGCCCCGAACCCTAATGGTAGTTTGACCTCCCATATTCGTACACTTTTTGAGTGACAAAAAGATTGGGCTTGCTCGCGCGTAATTTGACCGCACAATAGAATGTGTGCATGCACATCTTATTTGATTAGGAGATGTCTGCACACATACTACTGTAGGAACACTACTACCGCAACAGGGCTGGGTTGTTCAAAACAAGATTTACCTTAACCGGGGTTACTGGAAATTTTTAATTTAGTTTTATAGCTTTGCTAAGGGGTTTTTCTTCTCTTTTTTTCCCATTAGTTTCTAATCATATTGAGATAAACCCCAACAAAACCTTACGGCTTAAACGCGCTCCTCAACATGAGAAATAAAGTCAAGGTTAACTTTTAAACCTAGATTAATGTTAACTCCCTTTCGAACAACCCGGTTGAGGTGTCGAAATTAACTTTTTTGCCAGAAATTTAAGACCTCTTAATTCGTACGTTCCTCTTCAGAACGTTAATGTACATTATTTGAATGTTAAAACATTTAACCATTTCATACGTCATAGTTTCGTCATCCAGCACGATTCTTATCTTTCCTCGACCCCCTCACCCTCGTATCCTTTTAAACGATGCACAGCCTTGAAATAATTTGCATCATTCAAGGCGAAATTGTTCTTGGTTTTGATGTAATGTTCGCTACCCAACAAAGAGAAAAATGCGTATCCAAAGTCAGTGAAAACTGATTTTAACGTAACTGCATACATTCATTGGTACAATGCAATTGGAAAAACATTTGCAGGCAAATACTTTCTCTTAAGAGGCCTGCAGTATGAAATATCCACGTTAGTTGAACACGATATTTAAATGTTTGTAAATATAGACAAGACAAGAATTATCCTGTCTTGATGGGGAGTAAAAGTGAACGCACTAGGAATATATAAAAAATGGATTATTTTTTGCACTTCAATATATATTGTTGTAACATATTTATTTTCTCTATATCGGAGGGGTCTTTTTTTACTCCAGATTCCTGAATGCTGGGGAATGTATAAATTATATTTAGCCTGTCTGAGCACTGTATGAGACAAAACTATTTACTTGCAACTGAATAAAACATAATTAAAATTGCAAATGATGAATTTTTGGTAAGGGAAGGTAATGTTTTCATATCTGTACGCCACCGTATTTTAAACATAGAAAAAAGACGATAAGCAAAGTTCGTCTCGCCATCTTGCATCTTAGCGACTGACATTTCTTCAATTTCTCTGTCTCCTTTTTCACTTAAAAGGAACTCCTTGAATTATTTTTATTCGTCTTAAGTTATTTATCAGGGCCACAAGCTTTTAAGATTTTAGTGTTTTCTGCATCTATTATACTTATGGGTGAACGATAATTTTGCTTCTCTGTATATTAAAATGGTGATGATTCCTGCCCATTGAGGTCTTTCAGCTGTCCTTCGCACATCAATTCTTGAGACTTAGCTTGTATTAAGCAAAGACGTTCGCTGCCCCTTAATTCCCTCAAAATAATTTATTTGTTGTCTTTTGCAAAAAAAAAAAAAAAAAAAAAAACCGGTAATCATCGTTTTCTTTTCTATTCAAAGGACATCAAGGACAGATTTACAATGTACAACTCTCCTTTAAGTCAGATGGCATTATAAAACTTCTCACTGACGGTGCAAACAATTGATAATTGTCTCCAGATATGCTATCATTTTAGAGCTTAAACTACAAATTAAATACTGGATAAAGGTGCAGAGGACATGACAAACGAGTGTAACAAATGAGGAGTCCGAGTTCAATAGATATTCATTATATTATTGCTCTTTGTATCTTCCCATCCATGCAAGCAATCTCTTCTCCGCCCACGGAATCAAAGAAAGATACTAGCGCTCGGGTGGCAAGTTTGGCGAGCCCTTTACGCCCCTATACGGTTTTCGAATTTTTTTGGTTGTTGTTTTCGTTAATTTTGTGTAAGCTTTTTTTCATTTGCATGTGCACGAGATCTTTGATATTGAGAGGGATTGCTATACCAAAAAGTTACAGCTTACTCTTCAATTTTCAGCATATGCCCAACGGCTCAAATTAAAGCTGCTTTATAAAAGCCCAGAATTAGACAAAGTTTCCAGCTGCGTAATTATTTGTCATTTGTTCGTCCTTTGTTTACAATGACAGTCTTGTAATTACAAAATTTGTACCATAAAGAGCTTTGGATGTTCAAAGCTATTATTATAATGCATATAATGTGCATTTAGAAATGAACAAAACCTAACATTTGAAAAAAATTGAAAAATCAAATATATAGAACCAGTCCTTACTACACTGTTCAATATATTTTGTATATCACGAAAGCATAGCAATAAAGAATCTCGTTTTGGAAAGAGTACTTAGACGACTCGAAGAGGAAAGATTTTACCATCATGTAGTGGTGAAATAGTCCTTATTGTAATCTTGGCATATCTCAAGCTTTATGAATATGGAAAAATATTGGTGACCAAAAGTGATATAGATTTTGCTAGAATTATCATAACATCTGGCTAAATATATCCGTTGTATTTAAGCACTGGGCACATATTTCGAAGCCTTTCAAAATTAGCAAACATCGATGTTGGTTTCTGTGCTACTCATGCGAGAAACATTGAAATGAGGAAGTTTCTTTTTCTTTCGTTTTGATTTCAGTTTCGTTCAAACTCTCTTGGAAAGATCGAAAGAAATCAAATTTATCTCGGAGCTAGTTGCTTTGGTTATGACATCTGAAATACTCTGAAAGACCCGGAATAGATACCTATCGATTTAGAACCTTAAACACGTCAGCAGAAAGCGATCTTTGAACAAAGAGCTTTATGACAATATATACATGTGTCTATGGAAACAACTATTATGGCAAAGTAAAGTTATTGACTGTGAAGGGAAGAATTAATATCAGCAGTGCCTAAATTAAAACCTTTGATTTGAAATTGCTCTCGACGGATATAAATTTATTTTCTAAGCCTTTTAACTAAAATTTTGCAAACAATTTTATTCATTCATGAAAGGTGAAACGTGATCCGACAAAAATTTGCGGCGATTGAATTTCAAAGGTAATGGAACGTGAACATGGCTCTAATATCAGTAGTGGCGAACTGTAGTAATTATGTCACTTGACTATGACGGAGCGTTTTTATCGATAATGTAAACATAAACTAAACTTGTGGTTTGGTACCCAATTTAGGTTACGATTCCATTTAATATTATTCCAATTGATTCATGAAGTGGACGGACAGGTGTAATGATTACAATTTCGATTAAGGTTAAGATGCAAAGTCTCGCTTCGACACCCAAAGCTCAGAGAAGGAAGAACAGTTGAGACCGACTATGAATTTCAACCATAATTTTACGAATGAAAACATTTCAAGAACAAATTTAACAACTTCAGACGGAGACCACGATCAGCAGTTCCCTGATCCCGTACGCGTGTCTGGGATCTTAGCCAACTTTGCCTTGAATGCGCCTTTATCTGCTGCGGCAATTTTGGGGAATACAGCAATTATTTACTCGATATGGTACAACAGCTCCTTGCGTTTGCCATCCCATATCCTTCTACTTGGCCTCACTCTGTGTGATTTTGGAGTCGGTTTACTGGTGCAACCTCTTTATATTATCTACCAGACTTTTTACATCGTTAATTTGCGGAAGACGTGGGTGCAGGCCATGATAGTGTTCAACGTCTTGTCCAACATGCTCTGCTGTGTCTCATTCCTCACAACGACGGCAGTGAGTATAGATAGATATCTTGCAGTTTACCTCCATTTACGTTATCGAAGGATTGTCACAGTCGGGCGAGTTGTGAAGCTTCACGTTGGATTATGGCTCTTCTCCGCTGTCCTCGCCTCCACTATTGTTTGGAACGTCACAATAACATTTTTCGCTGCACTCCTTATTATATCACTGTGCTTGTTAACTACGTTCACGGTTTATCTGAAGATTTACTCAGTCGTGCGAGGCCATCGTAGAGCCATACACCAACAGCAAAACCAGCAACGTGCGAGAACACTGCATCAGGCGAAAACAACCCTGAGTATGTTTTACATCTGTCTGATCCACGCTCTTTGTTATCTTCCATATTTTGTGTTTCTTATTCTTAGAGATGCCTACAAGCTCACTACGTTTACATACTTAGGAACAGAGTTTGCTCAAACAATTGTGTTCCTCAACTCTGCTCTAAATCCTTTATTATACTGCTGGAGACTTTCTTACTTTCGCGAAGAAGTCAAAAGATCGCTCTCAAGTTGTTGTTCTTTCTCGTAGAATTGTGTTTCTTACCAAACCGCAAATTACAAACAATAAAAGCCAAAACGATGAAGTAAAGAGTGAGTTCATAAATAAATTATTTAAAGCTCTTGTGAGAAAGTTTATTATAGACATGGATTCAGTAGACCTACATGGTTAGCGCAGGCGAGTAAATAAAGAAAGGCAAATAAAATTCCTTGTAAGGATCATAAAGAGACAGTGAATTTACTTTTAAGCCGGCGAAAATAGGAATGAAGAGGGAGGACAGAAAATTGAAAGTACAACCTCTCCACTCATTCATTTTTCCTGTTGTTTTTTCTTTGCTGGAGCCTTTTTCCTTGAGGAAATAATTTAGATGGAAGGGAAGTCGTTAGGAAGTTATTATATTTTAGTTTCCCGTTTATTTGGTGAAGGAAATTTAACTTTGATTAAGGAAAAGTCTGGGATTTCAGAATATTCATATATGTGACAACGATGACTTGTGTTTTCTTCTATTCGCTCTGACAAAGGGCTAACGGCTCGAAACCTCAGCTCAGCTCAATTTACGAAACTCTTTATCTTGTAATATCCTCCCCCGGGGCAGCACAATGGTTTATTTATCCTCCCCCTATATTCATTTGTGTTTTCGTATTTTTTTACTCTGGAAAACCCTCTCGAACTGTTGGTACGAAACGATAAAAGGTTCTTCTGACCCACCCACTAAGAAGATTCGAACGTACTTTCATCAAGCATCCCAAAAACGTGTAAGTTAACTGTCACAGAAAATTCAGGAAATTTGTTCTCTTGGTTTTTAGACATAATTCTACTATGGTGTTTATGATAGAAGAAGGGATACACATATGTAATTTCGTGATCAAATTCATGAACGTGACTTTGGGTTTGACCCTTTGAGATAAGAGTCTCTTGGCAAAATTCCGGTCCATAACAGAGAAACTGAATTGTATCTGGAAATCTTAGATTTTTCCAACAGCGTTCCAGGTATGTTTCTTGATATAATTATTTTTTGCTTTCGTCAAGTTGTGGGCGTAATTGTTTTCACTTTTCTCAAGGACGATGGGCTTGTCAAATTATTCTCGTCAACATGGCAAATCAGTTACCTTTTTTCATCAACAATAACAACGCGGGTGGATAAATTATCGTTCCGTGATTAGTTTTTTTTTCAGGCTACCATATTTGCCTTGAAGCTTAAACAATTAATATGTAAAAAATAAAGATAAAATAAAAAAGTTTAGTCGGGATAAATTGTTTGAAATACCAACCTGATCAGTTAGGTGCTGAATATTTTTTAAGGTTAAAAACTGGCAATTTGTAGTTGTATTGCCAAGGGGACTATGAAAAGTTTCAAATAGAAGAAGGAGAAAATTGCAAGCTTACCTAAGTCTGAGTGACACAGGCGCAAAATTTTTCGTGGCGTTAAATCCCTCTTTTCGGTTTCCCTGAGCCGGAATATTCTACTTTTCTCAAATAATGTTAGAAAACTGAAATAGTTTTAATTTTGTCGTGCTGATATATCATTTTGCCCAAAATAGCTCAGGTAGCTTAGAGAAATTTTTGATTGACAGTCGAAAGTAAACCAGGATTGCACTGGTTTTGCTATACTCTGCTCTGTGATTGGTCCAGAAAAATCGCGCTACTCTTTCATTAAATCAGATGCAAAACTCACACTAATCACGACTTGATCGCCTGCGGTTTGCTTGTTTTTAATTTGAGTTATTTTTGGCTCTTCAGATTACTTTTCTTTATTCTGATTGGCTGATGTAATTTCTTTGGTTTTAGCTTTAATACACTCAATCGAAAGGCGCTTAAAAGACTAACATGACTGAACCTGTTAAGCAATAAACTTCATTTTCTCCGGTTTTTCAGCGCAAAGTAACCCATACAAGATAATTGAAGTAATGACAAATCTATCGGAAAACGCGAGTCGAAAGCAAGATGTGTTTTATTTCAACACACCAAATTTTACGAACTTATTGTGAAAATAAAAGGGTTAGTTTAAAAAACCTGGTGCCGTGTTAGTGTGGGCGGGCGGGGGGTATCACCAGATAATTTGAGTTTGAGTTGATAATGTAAATTAGCTCTCACCAGAGAGTTTTTAAAGTTGATGTTTCGTGGTTGTTAGCAACCCAAAGTCCTCCCGGTAACCAAAGAATACGATTGCAGGGCAGTAACCACTGCTTCTCACCTGTTGGAATAATCCATGAAAACTCTAAACCTTTGTCGGTCCACGGCATCACAATGAAAATAAAAGACCCCACAGAAACAAAGCTATCTTCAAAAATGCCTTAAAATAAACGGTTTGAGGGATCAATCATTATTTATCACCTGGGGAAGGGGGGGATCATAAAAATGTAATAAAGCCTTATGGGGGGGTCAGATAAATGATGATCGGTCCTTAACTGATATGTGGGCAAATTTGAACTGTTACGGCACTTGAGTTTGTCGCCTGAATGGATGATGATCGCGTTTGTTGACGGATTTCTTATTTTGATGATTTTCTTTAGTGAAATAATCAGACATTCATTTGAATTCAGGTAGCGACGTCGCTAAAGTCAACAATATATTAAGACGGCCAACCTTTTGTTTTACCTTTCAGAAGACAGTTTCCTTTTGTTTCGTTTATTAATTATCATCTTGTAGCTAATTCAATTGAATTGAGATGTCGTTGTCTTCTTGCAAGCAATGTCTGCCACTTCAAAACATCTAAGATAGAACTTTTCCTTAGTTTGTACCTTTTATGAACATATCTAGAAGTGCTGGCTTTCATTATACACGTGCACTTGAATGTTTGTTAACAGTTTTCATAGTTAATACGATTTTAAGTAATTAGTTTCGATCATAGCACTATGGTGATAAAAGCACACTAAGTCTTTGGGCTGCATCGATCGAACCTTGGCCAAAGTCGGTAAAGCCTCGGAGATAAATGGATTTTTTACGCCAAAGGATGATATGTCACTAAGATGTTTCGGACAAATGAGGTTTAGTTTGTAGCGTGTGTTCCTTTAAGACTTTAACGCCACGATTCAACCATTTCCGGTTTGACTTTCTTGGACCATAATTAAAATTACATCACGACAAAGGAGTTTGAACTTCGTGTTTAACTTTGTTTGACATTTCCCTTGAAATTTCCTGTTTAGCTTAGGATGATTAGCAAATGAGGTCAAATGGCAGAGCTCGATAATGAACTCAATATAAAAGAGTTATTACTAAGATAATTGCCACTTTCCGTTTAAGCTAACACGAAGTGTAAAAATAGATTAGATCGAAACAAATCGAGATTAAGGAGACACGCTTTCTTAAATGTTCATCAGCATTCGAAAGACGGATTTAAGACACAGTTTATGCAAATTAGAGAGTTCAAATAAAAATAACAGCCGAGGTTAACCTGCTTCCCTATATGAGAAATTCTGACAGAAATCAGAGTCTTTAAAACTCCTTCTTGGTATAAATTCTTGACTGAATCAACAAGCTAGCGTTACTGACAATTACACGATTTATACGACTTCATACATTTTTTAATATAGCTGTATCCAAAATCTTGCCTCTGGCATTGGAGAAGAATGTGCCATGTTTGATTTTCGTACGTTGTATACGCTATTGGAATAATTTTTCCATAAAAAGCATTTGCGTCAGTCTTAAGAGGATTTAGTGGCAAATGATTGCTTATACTGGTGTTTGAGCGAATGTTACAAAGCCTTTGCTCCCCAAACGAAGAATCCATCATTAATTTCCTTGTACATAACTTGAACTGAACATATGTAACCAAGATTATCTATAGAGATGTTTCGCTTACAAGCGTTCGTCTCTACAGACAATCCCTCTGAAAACAAATGTAAATAACAAGGATCTCGGCAATCTTTCCGTTTTAAAGTGATTGAATATCTCTAATCTTTAAGCATGTACTTGAAAACTCAGCCTTTCCTCGAGAGTTGGCTATATATCCGTGTGAATTTTAGAGCATTGGTGTTCTTACGATAACCTAAAACCAAGAGTTTCCAAGAGAGTTCGCTACATGTGTGTGTGAATTTTCGAAATGTAAGACTCGTAATATTTTGGACAATAAATAGCTAAATATCCACAGCTTCTGACGGTGACTCTTGCCTAGAATTGATGCAATCATCCCATCTCTGAATGACAGACATTAGAAAATACCACCTTTGAAAGTCTTAAGTTTAAGCTCATTGCAAGCATTTCTTAAATCATTATAATTACCCCACAATTATAAGTGTTTGACTTTCAAAGTGCCAATAATCCACTTTTAATGATATCCGTTGATATTAATCCTTAGACAGTTATCATAAACTGATAACATTTTTAATTACCATCTCGTTCTTTCCTACCTAACGATGTCAACATTATCAGTCGTTGCTATAAATTAAAGCGATACCATGCAATCATACTCTGCATATCAAAGTGCACATTTATATCACCCGCTTTGGTTTGAAAAAGCTTCTGGGGTTACAATTATGAAATGGGTTCTACCTGTTACTTTAGATATGTCAGTGGTAAATTGCAGATTATTTCGAGAATCATTGAAATAGGAACCGTGTTTCATTTTTACAGAAGGAAAAACTTGGTGAAAAGGAGTCCATACTACGCTAACTTTAGGCAAGTTAAAACATCGACAGAAAATTTCCGTGCCAATAGAAACATTTCTAATTGCTACGATCAGACGTGTCTAATGAACTTTTCTTAGGAAATACCGTTTTACCTGCATTTTCAGAGGATACATGCAGGCATAAGCATCTTTTGACTAAATTGACAGTGTAACGAAAACTTCGATCTCGGCCCACTCGAGAAATAAATCCATATTAAAGAAATATTTTATGATGGCATAACTTCGTAATGTTTTGATGGAAGATAACCTCTATGTCTATTACTATCTGAATGCGTAGGCTTGTGGCTGGATTCAATTGACTTACGGTGACTTAAACTATGAATTATTAAGCAAAACATGGGCAGTGAAACGTTATTCGTAACCACAATAATGCATTCACATCATCGGCTGGTTGTTACCACCTGCTTGTATTAACCTGTAAACAAACAAGCCACCAGAATCTGGGGAATGTGTTAAGAGACAT